GTTGGAGGGAACGGGGGGGGGGCGAAATAGACTGATGCGAGAGCAGGTGGCGGGAGACGGGAGTGGAGTGGTAGCACTTGCGAGACAGCTGAAGTTTGCATGAAAACACACAAGATGACGACGATAAACACGAATGCGTCGCAGGCTGCGTGATGCGTACGCTTCCATCAGCAGGATGCGGCGTAAGCGCGTCATCGTCCCATCTTGCCCCCCCAGATGTAGTGGATGCTCCTCAGGTCTTTCAGACGCCGCTGACCTAATTCCCGTTGTCTCTCCCTTCTGTCTGTCTGCAGTGCTAAACGGGAGCAGCCACTCTCCCACATCACTGAACGGCGCCCCGTCCACTCCGAACGGCTTCAGCAACGGGCCGGCCATGTCGTCGACATCCTCGTTGTCCAACCAACAGCTCCCGCCGGCGTGCGGCGCCCGGCAGCTCTGCAAGCTGAAGCGCTTCCTGACGACGTTGCAGCAGTTTGGCAACGACATCTCGCCTGAGATTGGAGAGCGAGTGCGCAGCCTTGTGCTGGGGCTGGTGGTAAGTTTGTGGTCAATTTCCCAAATAGGCAAAGGCATTAAAAACACACTGGACACTTACATCATGAAATTTGTATAGAAAAGAAAAAAAAGCCACCTTTTTTTCCAGGTTTTTTATTATTGTATTTATAGATTGGTTTACAGCGAACCTACATCGTATTGATATTTTGGTCACTTTTTTTTTTACGTACACAAAGGGAAAATGTTTGATGCGGTTTCCGTGTCAGGTTGTATACATGTTCCAATTTGCCGAATGAAGTGTCTGATGTATAAAATTACAAGGCAATAAAAAAATGTCTTGACCGCTGTTTACTTCTCCACTTATTTTGCCAGTATGATTGCATCCGTTCGTGGAACCTTTGCTTTCATCTTCCACAGAACTCGACACTCACCATTGAAGAATTTCATTCCAAACTTCACGAAGCTACCAACTTCCCTCTGAGGCCTTTCGTCATTCCCTTCCTGAAGGTAAATATAGCGTGCGGGCTCGTCTGCACAGGTGTGCGACTGTTTGGATGCAATATATTTAGCTCTGCCCTGGATTCGATGGCCTGCATGCCACATCTTCATACATTACAGTATAGCACTCATCTATGTCTCTACGAATGAGCTCATTTAGCCTCCTTCTGTCCCAAACCTATTGTAATGCATCACGTATTGACACTGCATCAACATCTACCGCGACAGATGAAACCGGTGCAGTTTGCAAAAGGTGTTTGGCCTGATCGGCACATCAGCAAAATAGATTTCAGTCTGACAATCAAGTTGGGTCATGACTCTTTTGGGGCGACCTGATCGAACCTGGGAGGTTAACCCCGTGGTGTAGGTATTCATACTCCACCGTAGACTATTTAGTTGAATGTCCAGACAAAAAGTATGCTTGTGGGCGGCCGTCCTCCACATCTGGGACGTTGCAGCGGTCTGTGTTTTATCAAGCCGACAGGTCTTTGAGAGTTATTTGACAGCACTTATACACATACACAATACACACCTCCGAGGGAGACACATGGCAGAGGAATGTGTCAAGAGATCTGTCTTATCTCATTGTGTCTCTTCATCCATCACTCCCTCTTATTTCACTTTTGCACTGCCTTATCTAGCATTTAGTCACTCTCCACGTTTCGGTTTCCAGCATAGTTCTCCTCTCGGCACTTTTTTTTTTTCTTCTCACTCGAATGGGTGGTTTCATTTTATTTTATTCGATTTAATATTTTTGGTCTACTTTGCAGGCAAACCTGCCCCTGCTGCAGAGGGAGTTGCTGCATTGTGCCAGGCTGGCCAAACAGACTCCAGCACAATACCTGGCCCAACACGAGCAGCTTCTCCTGGACGCCAATGCCAGCTCACCTCTGGATTCCTCGGAGATCATGTTGGAGATGAATGAGCATGGCAAGAGGAGGACCCCTGACAGGTAAAAGCGCTCAATCGCGCATATTCCCACAGAGATGGAGTGTCAGGAATGAACGATTTCAGAAGTCAGCAGGAGACTTTTTTTTTTTTTTACTTTGTGGCGAGGTGGACGTCTGGGCCACACTGATGCCAGGCTGCCACTGCCAACTGTCCACGAGGAGAGCAGCTCGGAATGTATTAAAAGAGAGAAGCAGGAGAAGAACCTATGGTTCAATCCCCCCCCCCCCAAAATAAATAAATACCTTAAAAAATTGCCCAGGGTTTTGCTTTTGTTTACTCCCTGGAGAATGTCAATTGACTGATACTCCCAAATCCCCCCCCACCCCCAAAATCAATCTCTTTACTCCGCATCTCCTATTCGCCGACTTACTCCATCTCTTTTACCCCTCTAACTGCATGACCCGCAGGCTCCCAGCAGCTGTCCATATGTCAGGGATGTGTCCAGATGGTGATGTGCTGACCGTAACACTGAACACATCCTCCGTAGGGTGAGGGGAGGTGGTTTGGACGGGACTGTAATCCACACACCTCCGCCTCCCGACCTCTTGCCTTGCGCACAGCAGGCCTGGCTCAGTGGAGTGAGCGGGGGGGGCGTGCTCAGGCAGGGGCAGGGCCTTCGCCGTGCCAGCTGTTCATATGATTTGTCCGTTGCCAGAGCCAAGGATGTGTACGCGTATTGCCGGCATGCTCAAAATACACCCGGATAACCAGGACACCAATCGTAATGCACATCTATTACATGCAGCCATGAAGCATTCGTTGGCCTTTGACCGATTTTCTATCCTGGATAGTACCATCAAGCTAAAAAGATTAATATCAACACTCCCCTTTAAACTCACCAGATGGCTGGAAAACATCCTCGCTCACACGCACACACGCACACACGCACACACGCACACACGCACACACACACACACACACACTTATTTAAACAACTCATCCACAGTGCCTCAAAACATCTGTCACACACACTGTATTTAGTTCATATTGCGGCCCAAGCCGAAGCGAGGCGGGAGCATGAGGAATCGTTGCAATCTTAGAGGCAGGCCGAGGGATATTCAGATTAAACGCTTGAGACGCAGGGTGTACGCTTCGACTTGGCTTTGTTGCAGACATATGGCATACAGCTGCGCTCGAGCTCCGAAGCGGCGCTGCCTCGCTGTAACTGAACAACAAGCCGCTCTCCACGGGAAAACATGCTTGTGCGCGGGCGAGCGTGTTTCTCTGAGCCACGTGCGAGTTGTCGAATTTACAGGATTGACAAGAGTTCACGTTTGGCGAAAGCGTCAGCACGGAAAGCAGCCGCAAAATCGCGGAGAAAGTGCACGGCTTGTCACAGTTGGAATTTGGTAACGATATGGATGAACTTGAAAGCGGAAAGCCTGCAGGATGTCAGTGTTGCGCGTGTGATCTTTTCTTTCGAGCTGGACTAAAGCTGCCCTTCGTTCATTTTATTCCACGGCAGATAATATTTGATATTGGCGTTGTTGAATATTTTTTGTTGATATCGCGCAGATCTTGGCCGGAGTGTCTTTTGGTCAGCGTAAATTAGAAAATGACCTTCACACTCTAATGACATTCAAAAAAAAAAATATCTGTCTGTCAGAGAGACAGTGTAACCAGGCAGTGTATTTATTACATGTTTATTACATGTTTCCATATTCATCACACTACAAAAACCTTTTTTAAATTTTTTTTTTTTTTACTGCTAGGATAGGTTTTGCCACTTAGAAGGAGGTGTGTAGCTACAACTCCAGTACTATTTACACAAGAGGAGCCGTATTCAGTTCTTATTTTATTGTAATTATTTTTTTTAAATGCTGACATTTCGGACTTGTGATAAAAACACGGCTGGAGACGTGTTGTCAGTACGTGCCACGCAATTACATATTGGCAAGCAAACAAAAGAATCCTGCTTTGTAAGACACCTTCTCATTCCAAACGTCAGTGCGACAGCTGACAAAACACTGCGGGCTTTTATGTACGCACAATCACTTCAGCTCTCTGCGTGTTTCATTAATGCTCAAGTGTTTTCGATAACGTACAGCAAATAATCAATGCTCCCAATTCACACCGCAATTACTTTTCAAACAATTCAAACACTCAGGCGGGTACACATCAACATCATTTTGTCTCCTACGTTAATGGGAACACCGACCGCCTATGCGAGTAACTTTTTCTTACAACGATTCACTCGTCTGCCTTGGGGTTCGCCTTGATGTGTATATCAAGTTGAATGTTTTCATGCTTCCCTCCCCTCCCCAGGACCAAAGACTCTTCAGAGAGAGATGGCTTGCACCCCGAGCACCTTGCCAAAAGGCCCTGCACCATCAGCCCCAGCCAGCGCTTCAGTCCCAGCACCGGCCTCCCTGCTCACCCGCCTCCCAACGGGCTCCCGACGCACCCTCCCAATGGCCTCCCCCACCCACAGAACCCTCAAATGGCCCCTCAGCATTACCGCTTGGAGGACATGGCGCTGGCGCACCAATACAGAGACGCTTACAGACATAACGAACACAGAGACGGCCGAGACAGACACCGACAGACAGGTAGGGCGCCTACCGGGCGGGTCGTCATTGATGACCAGCTGACCCCGGCAGGCCACGTTATAGGTTCAAACTAGCGGGGGCACATGAAAGTGGGGCGTATGTTCGCAACAATGACCAGTTGTCGATCCACCGTGTTAATCCGTGCGGCTATATAAAGCCCACAGCCTTACATACCCATGTGCTGCTACAACTGTGGCAACTATATATGCCTTCCGACTGCTTCACGCGAAAAGAAAGACTTGCATTCTCAGCCAAACTGTCCCCGGGAGTAGTTACGAGCATGCCAATATGGAGGCAACGTGGAGAAAAGGGCACTCAGTCTTCTGCCCCGAGCGACGATTAATTAACTGTTTAACACAAATGCAAACATTGCAGAAAATACAAAATAGCAAATATTTATATTCAGGCAACAATCAGGATAAGCCAAATGATATTCCCCCCCCCCCGGACTGTTTCTATTCCAGCATTCGATTAAGGGGTGTTTCGTGTGGAAAACCTTTTCTTTAAGCTCCTCCTATCCGGTTCCTGGAGGCATGGACAGATCCTGCAACACATTTGTCCAGATCGCTCATTAGCTCACATTTGTTGAGATGATTTCATTGAAGTCAGTTCAACATTTTTTTTCCTTCAGTGTTGTTCTTGATGTCAACCGTCTTTCTGTCACAGCAGTGCACGGAGCCCGCCAAGAGGAAGTGATCGATCACCGTCTCACAGATCGAGAATGGGCAGAAGAATGGAAGCATCTTGATAACGTAGGCATCGGTGCCATCGTCGTTTTTAATGTCGAGCACGCTGCTTCGTTCACGAGTTTGACAACACTTAGCTTCAGGAAGGCATTTTTGCACACGTCGACCAGACACACATACAGTACACACTCACGCAAAGAAATAGGGCCCCAGATGGAGCTCGGGACCCAGCAGAGAGCAGCTCCAGCTGGGCCGAGCAGCTGAGACAAGAGCTGCAGTCATGGAGAGAACCGGCCAGGCCTGGACCCCTGCCAAATTAGAAACACTTTGCTGAAATAAATATAGCTTACTGAGAAGGAAGGGACGGGGCGGAGAGCGACGAACGGCGCCGGGGAATGAGCAAGGCAACAGCGGAGAACGCGAATAATGCAAAGGGGTGAATGTTGAACATGTTAAAGCCATTTCGTTGAGCGCAGAAGGGCGGCGACATTGGTAGAGCTAAAAGAAAATCTGGTGAGTTGGCAGCGAATCGAGCAGAAGGGTGGAAGAAATCAGTTCAACCTTTTCATCTGTAGCCCAGCTGTTGCGTTATTATTGCAACGCTCTGACGAATTCGGATTCACAAACTAGCACATGGACAACAACGGAGTGAAACTTGCAAATTGTCTTGTCTGAGGAACCGAACAACTGACCGTTACATCCACTGGAAGTGAAAAATGGAAGAAAATGTGGACCGTATTTTTCAGACGATGAATCGCACAAGTAAAAAAAAAAAAACAGTCCCTGTTTGAGTTCATCCCCCGTTTTTGGAAGTGGCCAAAATGTCTGCATTCTGTGCACGCTCATGCTGGAACAGAAAAGCGACTTCTCCACGCTGTCGGAACGGCATTTCAGAGGAGACATTGCAAGTTGAACAGTTCAGCGTTTTCAGTCTCCATGTGTCGTGTTTCAAAAGAACAAAATCCAATTGTTCCAATTCATGAAGGTTAACCTTCAAGTCTAGACTGAACACCAATTTGTGTTCCCATCAGCTCCTCAACTGCATCATGGACATGGTCGAGAAGACGCGCCGCTCTCTGACCGTGCTGCGACGCTGCCAGGAGGCGGATCGGGAGGAGATGAACCATTGGATACGGCGCTACAGCGACGTGGAGGAGATGAAAAAAGGTGGGAGCAACGGACAGCACTGCCTTCCTCCTCCTCCTCCTCTTCCTCATCACAACTCCTCCTCCAACACAGCTAGCAGCAGTGAGGCACTGCCCAAAGGAGCTTCTTCCGCTGCTGACAGGCAGACAGGCAGACAGACAGGTAGACAAACACACACAAGGGGACGTTTGGCACAGCAAAACGCTCGTAGCGAGGTCGGGCCCGTTTGATGATGCGGGCCGGGGACTGACTGGAAGCATCGGAAGAGAGTTTAACTTAAGCACATGGTGGTCATCCTGGCTCTCGGTCTATATTTCAGGATTGTTCCGCACGCGTACGTTATGAGGACAAAAGTATGGGCGCGTCTACATGTGTACATGTGACTTCGTGTGTTTCAGAGATCCACAGAGACTTTCTACACAGACCTCCGTCGGGATACCTGCCGGAGGAAATCTGGAGAAAAGCTGGTAAGCGCTTCTCAGGATCCGTCTTGTGACGTCACGCTAACAAATGCCTTGCGCTCACTCCCAAAACGGACGCGGTCATATACGTTTCACAACAAGAAATCCCCACCTCATCCTCTTCCGCTCAAATCCCCCGTTTCCACCAAGCTGTACGTTATTGACTCTAGCTTGACAATGTCGAACTTGCGCCTCTGTCCACAAGCCAAAAAGAAGACAAAATGTCACTTTTCCCTTTTTTTTTTTTTTTGTTGAATTGACTGACTTAGTGCTGAGAAGAAAAAAAAATACATCTGTACGGTACAATTTGGTGGAAACGTGGCTCCAGACAGAAAGGACAGAGGCCTTTCAGTCATCGGTCCACGAGGCCGGAGGATTGAAAGCCCTCTGCAGAAATCTGGCGAAATGTCCTCCATCTGTAACCACTATGAAAGGCCACTGCAGTTAAGCTGCAGTGAAAATGCAGTCACCTGGCCCGAGGCATGCCACAGCAGCACAGAACAGTGACTTCATAGTCCAACTACAATCTCACATTCCTACTCCCCCTTATATTAAAAAAAAAAAATAAAAAAAATCACTCCAAAACAGACGCATTAATGTTCAATTACAGCCAGCCCTGGATTCATTTAGTTCCAACCACTTCCCACCCTTGCCAAAAAGATTTTTTTGGAGGGGCAGACACAGTCCGTACAATGAAGATGCTGCTGCTGTTGGCAAAATATTGCGCTGCATTTTCACCAGCAGAAAAAAAAAAAGCAATTTTAACTGCAGTTGTTTTTCATACAGGTACTACAAGCATCCCGCTTTCGCCAGCACTAAAGCACCTCCAAAACAAGCAGGGTGAGTAACATACCTCGCTCACGGCATCTTACCTTCAGTGTGTGTTTGCGCCGGAGTGTGTGCAGCCAAGTCGTCTGCCTCTCTCTCCCTTTCAATTAAAAGCAGACATGTGCTGTTTTCTCTGATCGGGTTCAGCTTGAGAGACTGCTGTGATTTTGAGACCAAAAAAAAAAAAAAAAATCTACTCTGTGGAAAGACTTAGCAAATCCCTGTGGAATTATAACGTTAATATTGCCGCCCGCGTGTTTTTCATTAAGTGCTAATTGCCCGAGCATCTGCTATGTACTCTCCTTGATAAGAATTAATTAAATTTGCAAACTTATCTTGGTGGTGCATACATTAGGCCTGAAAATTGAGATTGAGATAATGCAGATAATGCTTGAGGGGAGAGAATAAAGGAGGGGGGGGTGAAAGGAAAAGGAAATAGGAGGAGAAATGAAGACGGAGGATGCGGCGTAGCACTGCGACGTGTTGATGTGAATGGCATCCAAGCCGCATGCAAATGACGATACCATATGCATATCCGCGTGCAAAACGATGTGGAGTGGAGGTCGTGTGGGGAAGCGACGGCTCGTAGCTCTTAAAAAAAAAAGGTAGCGGTGTCGAGAGCAACTTTGCCGTCGGGATGACACCGGGGAGCCTTTTTTTGTGTGTCTGTGCGTCTTTCGTGCAACAGCCGCAGATGGCCGAGTTGGAATCCTTCATCGCTGAAAATATGTTACATGATGGAGGAATTCACATCTTGTCGCTCAGACCACCAAAATGTGTTTTTGGCAGCCCATTTGCATATACCCACCAAGAGGAAGAAAACGGGTACGACATATTTCTTTGGATATTCTGAAACGAATAATGAAAGACAGAACTGTAACACCGACACCACATGCAAAGTGTGGGAGTGCTTTTTTCGTAAATCGTAGTTCAGTGATCTGTGAATGGCAGGAGAGTACTTCCGCCGCAAATTGTTCTCACCCAAAAGACAAAAAAAGACATTCCCCAAACGCTTGCCTTTGCCCTGGAAGCATCGACCCATCTGAAATGTCCTTCATGGGGACGTATAGATGATGCTTTGTCCAAGTATCATACCCAAATGGTCTCGTGTAAAAAAAAAACAAAACACTACCTCCACTTTATTGTTCGATATCTCCTGGAAGCGCACCAAACCCTACACAACAATCTATGTACACTCTGGGAACATCGTAGTGAAGACGAGCATTCAAGAACACGCTGGGAGTTTATTCAGGTTGCTTCGTGCCTGAGGATTTGTCACTGAACCATCCAGATGACAGAAGGACAATCAGGCAGAAAGGGAATCCCATGATGGCGGCTGAACAGCCAAGCTGGTGACAAAACTTTGGAGGCATCTGCTGTTCTCCGCTCCGAGTCCAGATTGTGTTGGAATTCATCACTGACTGTCTGGATGTTTCCACTTTCTGGCATCAACTTTTAAATCTAGGATGGCGTGCATCTGTTAGCCAAGATACAACAAAAAAGCAGCTTAAAGAGCTTCAATAAATGATGGCCGAACAGGCGGAGGCTCAGTCTAACGCGTCCCTTTTCTTCCTCCCTTTTTTTTTTTTCGCCCTCTCAGAGGAAGCCGTGAACGAAGTAAAGCGACAAGCGATGTCGGAGCTGCAGAAGGCCGTGTCAGACGCTGAGAGGAAAGCTCACGAGATGATTTCGGCAGAACGCTCGAAAATGGAGAGGGCCCTGGCTGAGGCCAAGAGGCAAGCCTCCGAGGACGCGCTCACAGTCATCAACCAGCAGGAGGACTCCAGTGAAGTGAGTATCACAGACAACAACAGCTTCACCTTTGCCAGATGACGCTTCCCGTAATAGAAATAGAAATGGCCCAATTTACAAAGTTGTTGTTTTTTTTTTTTTAGTTCGCTCGGTCAACTTTTTTTGCTTTGTTGTCGGAGCTAAAATTTGAATCACAAGTGAGCTTCAAATACGCCACCGCTCAAGTGATGTGGAACAACAAAAAAAAAGGAGCGGACAGTTGACGATTCACTTTCAGCTGTTTATTGAACACAACAAACAGTCAAATCTACAAAAAAAAACTTTCGGCTAAAATGAATAACTGACATCGAGGCACAAGACAATCTGGGCCGTGTTCCTTCTGTCACCCACAAAGCCACGCCCCCTTTAAATGGACACAGCTCAGGTCCACAGTCGTCATTTTCTGGCTTGTCCTAAAAAAAAAAAAAACATTATTTAGGTTTTAAAGACTATCCGTCTTATTGTATTTTGATAAAATGCAGAGCAATTTTTACAGAATAAAACTCAGCCAAAAAGTATTGGTTTTGTAGGGTTGAAACCGATTGATTGAATTTCAATTCATTTCAATAGGAAACATTACTTTGCAAGGCTCTAAATATTTGTTTTAAGAATGAATGACATCATTTGAGATGCAACGTTCTAATTTTGGGGAGCAGTTTTTTTGCAGGTTAATCCCAAGGACCTGTGGCAAGGGTTTTGTGAATAAAAAGATGACAATATAATACATGGATAATTGCTTTTCTTTTTTTTTATAATCGCCAATTTTTCTTTGTTTAATTCACATTATGTATTTTCTTGCCTCAAAGCAAAGCTAAATCGATTTATCGCGCAGACCTCAAAAGTCAAAACAAACTAATAATAACTGGTGAGATCATTAATATTTTAACCAATATTAAGATGATTTTAACTTTATAGGCCACTACTCCTGGCTAATACACATAAACGTAAACAGAACTTATTTTGTTTCCAGTTCTGGATGATTTTTTTTTTCCCCCTCCAAAGTCTAGACACTTCCTAAATTGCCTGCTGTTTTGCGGTTCAAAATTGGATGCTCTCCACTTTAATGTGGTTCCAGCCAGACGTCTGTGAAGAGTGGACTCTCACACATTATTCCGGTGTTAAACGCAGCAACAGTGTCAATCTTAGGTTAGCTTCGCAATGAGCATGGCATTTCCATCGTTCGTCATCATCATCCCTTTATGAAAATGTTACTTGTTTAGCCACAGCAGTAGCAAGCTTGTTGCTAGCTCTCTGCTAAGGCATAAATTGCACCAAGTTTAACATCCATGCGTCCAGCTCAGTGAAGCCTTTTGGCTCCATCTAGGCCAGGGGTGTCAAACATACGTCCGGCGGGCCGGAACCGGTCCCCAACGAGGTTCGATCAGGCCCGCAGGATCATTTAAGAATATTTTAATAAGGTGCAATTCATGGAGTATCCGCTAGGGGACACTGTTTTGAGAGTAGAAAACAACATTGTTTTGATCAGAGAAGAAGACAACAGCAGTCTGTCTGTCACTGAGACAGACCCAACACAGCAGACGCTATCAAGGACATGTCAATGCAGTACTTTATTCTTTACACATTTAATAGCGCTCTCCTTAGTTCGTAAGGCGGAGGCAGGGATTAAATTTAGATATTATATGCACATTTGTAAATGGTTTAAAAAAACTCTTTCTTTATAAATTTTGTTTAATCTTAAAGTGCATTATTATATTTTTCAACACCAATTCCTTAAAGTTAAAGTTTTGTGCCTTTGTACAATCAGTGGGATCAGTTGCAATGCATATAAGAGAATGATAAAAGTAAATTGCACATTTGTCGAAGGAAATCTAAGGTGCTTCATGAAATGTTTTGTAAAAGATATATTCATTAAATTTCAACATTTTCTTAATGTTCTTGTGCTTCTTCAGAACAAAACAAATGAAAGACATATTATTTTGGTTATTATTATAGCAGAATATGGTATCATTTTAATGGTCTGGCCCCCTTGACATCTACCGAGGCCATATGTGGCCCACAATGTGAAATGAGTTTGACACTTCTGATGTTGGCAGTTGCTTCTCACTTTGTGTTTTGATTTGTGTTTTGATGAGGAGGAAAATGCAAATTCTGCTTCGCTGACTGCGATGCGAAACCGCCAGTTTCAAGCCTTGCTTTGATATATAAAGTTAACTCAGTTATGAGTTTGGCCGCGGTACAAATTCAAATTGCAAGGCCAAGGTACCACTTTTTTACCTTTTCTTTTTATTTTTTTTAACTTGAATTATTTTTGGTCTGATCTCATAAGCTTGAAGTGGGATCGAGGCCGGCTCCCAGTGTTCTTAAACGCTACATTATCACTAACCGGCAGCTCACACCAGCGTTTTATCAGCCTTTGACATTCAGCTAACAGCTCTTGGCTCTGGGTTACTCGCACCACCATGGTGCCATCATCGCTGCAGAAGCAGCCCAGTTGTTTGTATAATAATGGCAGACAGACCCAGATGGTAAGAGCAGGGTGCCAGACTGAGTCCATTCCTGAGCAGATGACCACCACCTGCTGGTGACTCAAACCGGAGCGGACCTCAAATGGATCCAGCATGTAAATAGATTTAGCAGGAAAGCCATAAATCAAGTTGCAAACACACACATGCGCGCACACATAACTGTGTCATGTCTTGGAAACCAAAAGAGACTTATTTTTATCAACCGTCTGTCTTCCCACTGTCTCACCAGAGTTGCTGGAACTGCGGGAGGAAAGCCAGCGAAACGTGCAGCGGCTGCAACACAGCTCGCTACTGCGGCTCGTTCTGCCAACACAAAGACTGGGAGAGGCACCACCATGTCTGTGGTCAAGGCCTGCAAGGTCTGCCAGGGGGCAGCAGTGTTCCTCTTGGCACCCCCTCCCCATCTTCGGCGTCCAGCGCACCCCCTACACACACAGAGAGCACGCCTCCGGGTCCGCTGTCGCTGGCGGGCCAGAGCGGTCTCGCGGCGGCGGGGGGCGGCGGCGGCGGCAGCATGTCGGCCAGCCCCAAGGAGAGCAGTTCGAGTAGCGCCTCTCGGTCCACCACTCCAGCCACACCCGCACTACTCGATGCCACATCCCGTTGAATTGTGATCCTGTTCCCTGTTCTGACGGTGGCCACGCTCCACACAAAACCAAACGGAGGAATCTTCATCTCACATATGACCCCTGTCCTCCTCCCACAATGTAGACCTTTTTTCCTTTTTTCCTTTTTTTTTTTTTAAGTTCTGATAACCGAAGTCCGTCTTTTGCAACCATGATTACAAACATCGTGGCTTTGGGATTCAGTGTCGTGTAACTGTTGAAAAGCACAAGGACGAGTGACGGTAACATATCATCATGTTTGGTGGCAACCCGGAGACTTGACTGGCGCTCTTAAGGGCTCTGTTAAGACTCGGGGGGGATGACGAGATCAATTAGCACTTCAACGTCATCATAATTTCGCTCCGACGAGAGCACCCAGAGCTGTTATAGGCACTGACAGTCCTGATCTTCTCCGGTCTCCAAATGCTAACAAGCTAAGGATATTGAGCTTTTTTTTTGTTTGTTTGTTTGTTTTTCTTCAAATACAATGAGCGAAGGGGAAAAACCTGCGATGCCGTTCCTCAGAAACACAACTTTGTATTTATGAAACACTTCTTTCTGGCTTTAAGGGGAAAACAAAGAACAGTCCAAATATTCTAAATGAGAGAGAGAGAAAAAAAAGTGATGATACTGACGTTGATCACCATCATAATGACATGAAACGAAATGAGTTTTAAACTGCTAACTACCTTGCTAGCGAGCCAAGAAAAAAAAAAAATCTACGCCGGACTCACCTCTCGAAACCATTGTGAACCCAAATGAATTCAAAGATGAAAAACAACCTGATCCAAACCTTTGTATGACACTGCCAAAGTGCGTAAGCGATAAAGAGAAGCACTCCTAACCAAACGCAAAGCAACATCACCTCCTCAGCAGAAAAGGCGGGCCCGTGAGAGAAAGAGAGCGAGAGCCGGGCTGCGGAGCGCCAGTCGGCCTCTGCTCTGTCGCTGCCTTCTGCGCCGTGGACGAGACTTCAGCAACGCTTCAGTGACGGCCCAGACTCGTGAACATATGGACAACGCTGTGAACGACTTGATTGAAACGGACCGAGGCCTCACCCCAATGAGATTTGTGTGACAATGGGAAGCAAAAAAAAAAAAAAAGAAAGAGGGGGGGGACTTCAATGGAGATCAAGTTCCATACACGACAATGTAGCTACCAAAAACCTCGATCTGTCGGAGCATCCAGCAGAACACGTGTGAGCATTGTTTGCGTATGTTTAATTTTGAATCTCCAACGGTGAGGTGATTTTACCTTGACATTCACACACCTTTTTTTCCAAAGCACGACGAACAGAGCCAAGAGAAGGGCGGTGCAGACTCTCCTCTTTTTCTACCTCCCTTCCACCCCACATGTCGCAAAAAACTTTGGCCCGACGACTTGACTCGAGTCGGCCGACCCCCACCCAGCCCGCTTTGGAATTCACATCAGAGCAGGACAGCACGGGAAAGGGAATGGAACCCGCTTGTAGATATTGCTCCTCTTTGCATTTTGGGTTTTCAATCGTCTATTGTCGTTCACGTACACATGACTTTGTGTGTCATCCGGGAAATTTTCTTTTGTTAGTTTTCCTTTTCCTTATCATGGGGAACGGACAGCGGGCAGGGTCCGGGCAAGGACGCTTGTCTCTGAGAGGAAGCCCCCCCACATTGTCCTCATTGTTTGATTTGTTTTATCGACGTCGATGAGACGAAACCCCTCTTGTAGAATATTTTGTATCGCTCGCATTGTAAGACAGTGAGAGGACGGAGGTGCAATATGAAGAGAATTCAGCTACTGAATGGAACCTCAGCAACTGCCCGTAGGGTGTCATATAATAGAGATACATATAAATATATTTAAAGTAACATCGGTAACTTAATGTGAATGTACATAGTATTTAAAGAGGTCCAAAAATGTGTTTGCCAAATAACAGAAACCTTTAAAGTTTAATGTCCAGAATATGATTTTCTCACAGTACATTTGTTTCTCCAATGTATCAATGACTCCTTTTTATTTTATTATTGTTATGATTGGTTTTGTTTTGTTTTTCATAGATAATTCAAATGCATTTCTTCTGTGGAGTAGATGTAGGGGGAAAGTACATTCTGACAGATCAAGTGTGCGTGAACTGCATGACTTCCAGAAACACACCAATTCGGCTTGAATGAACGAACCGAAGGCAAAAATCTGTCACATTGTCAAGAGGTGTGATAAGTGTTGATTCTCATCAAATAGGAGGGGGCGGATATTTTCAGTTTAACGCACTTCCTCGACACCCGGGTCTGCTCCGTCCCACAGGAAGGGGACTCAAGTCGTCTAGTTCACATCTGATTTAGCCCCATTTCTTGTTTCAATTGAATCCTGTGAAATGTCGTCGCTCATTTCGAACAGTTCCTCTGTCGCCATTTCTCTTCGTCACTCTTCCGGTGTGTTTGTTACCTCCAGCTGCAGTCAAAACGTTTGAAAGTAGGATTAAACCGGCATTCAGATGAAGTTGAGCCAAAGTCAGAGGTTAATTGGACTCTCCTTGGTTTTCGATGTTGTTTTTGACCATTGTTTGACAGATGACAAACATTTGAGGGAAGAAAACGATGTCGGACTTGAGGATCCTATGGCCTTTTCCCACCCAGATTTTGAGCGTTCCCTCGGTTGATTAGCAACCTTGGGCTTTTGCTGAGTGGAGAATAGGGGCCACGTGGCCCCCATTCGGGCAAATTTGGTTCTCAAAGACACTTTAAAAGTCCCAACGGAGGGCCACAGTGACGACCTGGTGCTGACGCTGCAACGAAGCCGCAAGCTTCCGCTGCATCCACGTGTAGCATTTCTTTTGTCAGCGCGACAAAATGGCCTCTTTGATGTGGCGTTGACCCGGGGGCCGACGCCAGAGCACTCTTCACTTGCTACCTCCTGAGACCATACAGCTAATCACCAGGAGAGCTTCACCTGGACTTTGAAAAGATGGGCTGGGTGCAGACATGGAAGTACACACCCGCGCCGCTGAATCCATCGCCCGCTGGGGTATCGAAAGGCCTTGCCACTGCCACCGTGTCCGTCGGACGTCTCGTTTGTGATCCGTCGGTGAAACAGCAACCAAACATATCACTGAACACGGCACGAACCACGACTTGCCATTTGTCATCCCAAACCAATAAAAGCGCAGACCAAAGTGCATTGCCATAAGCGGCTTTGACCTATTGTAGCGACGCCGAACCCCATTGGGGAAAGTTCGAGCTTCGCCGCAGTCAACCAAAGTGTCTGAGATGCAAACAGTCAGAGCGCAGGAGCCGAGAGCGAACGAACCATTTTAAACGTTCGACGGGCATTCGGAATCGTGTTTCCGCGGCGATGAAAGCATCTCCTTTGGAAAGCCGACCGTTTGTATATCCTCGCAGTGACAAAGCCTTGCAGAGATGAAATTAATGACTGGTGAGCATGCGTTCTGGTGTGAATAGAGTGTGGTTTTATACGACAATTTTTTTCCCTTTTTTTCCACGTCTTTGTACTTGAAACCCTCCAAGCTTTAATAAAAGACCCCAGGCAGACGACTGGCAGAGATTCACAATACGTCGCGACGGTATCTGTGTCATGTGCTGTGTTTCTAAACGATATCGGCATGAAAAAAGCATTTCAGTGGCAACACCTTTCCAAACGCCATCAGCGCGTGTGCACCCTTGTCTGCATCGAAGTCCTCCAAGAAACAAACCAAACCCAACAGACCACTTAGAAATGACCAAAATACAACCAAAAGCTATTTGCTTCCATTGTACTTAACGGTGGTGTTTTTTTTTCATTTGAGCATCAGTTGGAGGCGGATGCGGGATGTGAAGCTACGTTCGCACACAAAGCAAGCAGACCCGAAGAGCAGCTGAACTGTGACAATATGTTCATGAGGGCGTGTCCGATACGTTGTGTCAAACAATTGTCATATTCTTTTCTCTGCACTCTGTGAAACTAATTGGGCTCTGCTGTTGCGAATACCTTGGAAGGCTCTCCACTTGACATCAGTCACTATCTAACTGTGGGTTTCATTTGGGCAAATAGCATGTTAAAAAAAAAAAAAAAAAAAAAGACATATTTTAGGAGGTTGCCAATTGGAGCATCCTCGACCGTTAACAGTAACCAATGACGTCTCGAGAAGTGACGACGAGTCCTTCCTGTGACACAGGCATTGCCGAATAGCTGAAGGTTAATGTGCTAAAGGTCAAAGCACTTGTGTACTCCCCCAAAAAAGTCATGGCTCAGGACGATCCCCGTTTTTACCTTTACATAAAATGAAAACGAGGGTGTCTGACAGCATTCTATACTGTACTGTGCAATACACTATGACATGGAAAAAAAAACAATTCTGTCGGAAGGTTGACGGAAAATCTGAAAATCTTTCTTCTTTGTTTGATTTCTCTCTCTTCGAGTTCCTGTTGCCGTTTTTTAGATGAAGTAAACTGTGCCAGAGGAATTAAATTCTGATTTGTATTTATTTCTTGCATGCTTTCCTCCCTGTTGCTAATACCGCTCTTTAACTGTTCGCTCTGTTGGATGTGTGACGCTGTAAAACATTCTAATTCAGGTTATTGTCTGTGTTGAACAATGTAACTGTGTAATTAAAATATGAAATGAAAGTCGGCGATGCTGCATTTTTTTTACACTCCTAAAAACATATTAATCACTCACAACACTCACACAGCGTTAGAGTTCAACGTTAATCGCTGATAGAGTCTGCCCTGAGACCTTTTCAATTAATTATAGTTGAAAATATACACCAACACAACAATGTCTCCCATGTGGTTTTCCCAAACCATGTTCACATGAAATTGATCTTGGCAGTTAAGTGTTATTCACACAAATTGAAAACGGTTTTAAAGAGCTAGCAATGGCTGCTCTTTGAGCCCTGAAACTAAAATGTGACGACAATTTGTGAATGTGTGATTCATTTTGTTTTCATGTTTACAACTGTTTTCATTGTGTTTTTCAAGTTCATTTTGAATTCCTGACATCTATCCGGCGGGGGGGGTTGAGGTTAATTTGGGGGCCCTGCTTCCGGACTTCTCGCCCGAAATTTGACGTCCGACGTGGTCGTCGACGACGCTGTCAATCAACACTACAAGTGACGTCCACGCGCACAGCTGACGCTCGTTAAATCCGAACTGAGTGACGTCACGCGGGTCTTCACGCCGTCAACTGCTTCCGGGTTGACATATGCGTGTGTATGTGTGTGTGTGTGGCGTGCTAGCAGGCTGCGGTAAGAGCTCGCTGCAGAAGCCATGTTTTAGCAATGAGCATGGCCGACAATCATCTGGAATACGCCTATCTGCAAGGACAGTCCATCGGGGAGCATCTCGCCGAGGACCCGGTGAGTGTGTCTTTCATCATCGGCGTGGAAAAAAAAAGGCGTCGCTGAGTTAGTTAACCGGACTCAAGCAGTGGTTGAGCAATGGCGCACACACGGGCACGTTACCGTTTAGCATCCTAGCTTCAATTCAGCGGCGAATAGGTTCGCTTGTAAAAAAAACATCTTTTGTGTTTGCATGGAGGCGTAAGACTGGATGATGGCGTTTTGTCCACCACACAACTGGATACTATTGCCAAAAGTAAGGCTTAATGAAATGGGTCGGCCCGTTTCTTGCATGTTTGGTCGATTTTAGGCTAAACCCATATGGAGCATTTTGGAGGATAAAATGGGTACAGACTAAAACGCCTTACGTGCGTTTCAAAAAGCTTGACGTGGATTCATGTTAAACCACGGCCAGTCGCCACCAAAATTCATTACGCATCTTCATTTATGGCGATTTCAACCTCTGAAAATAGCAACGCAATCGCCAAAGTATTTTGATTGGCATTACTTTTTCCTCCCCATAGACGTTCTCTACAGAGAAAGAGCCCTATAACTACAACCGACCGCACCCCAAATTCCTATGCACATCTCTACCTACCCCCACATCAATCTCTTAAAATATCAAAACAATCTACTCCATATTTGGGATTTTATGGTCGTTCAGCGTTTTCCTCATGAAACAACAGCTTTTAAGTGCGTGCACCTATGGAGAGGTCTGCAATGTAATTTCTGGCTGTCACTCTATGTTGCTGCCATAGATAAATAAATATCCAGTTTTTGTAGTAAATGATTTTTGGGCAAATGAAATGAAATTGTACGAAACACAAGCCATTGACTGAAAAATTAAGTGAGCTGTCAAAAATGGTTGCAGTGTCATAAAAATGAACCCTGGATCCACAACATGGACACATCCATGTTTTGTGGAGATCAGGCATGTCGGTTTTGGGAAATCCTGTAACAGCTTAATTTGTAAAAGGTTGCATCCACCTTTGATGCGGCATGTGAAGTCTTTCTTAAACGTTGGTGGAAATCTGCATTGGTGTAGGGTTGCACTGTCACAGCGGTAATTCCTAATATTATTCCAAAAAAAATTTTGTTTCAACCTAAATGACTACAAAAATGCATAGAGCTCTCTGTGTGATGCAACATTGATATGAACAAAAAGTTAAGTTCATGAACCTCATCTTTAAGACCTAATACACTTCTTCTAATGGACCTCAATGTTGTGTTGTGGCAGGTGGTCTCGAAGCAAACAGTTGACTCGACCGACCCTGCCATCTTTTCATCTGCATTCTTGTCCAGGATGTTTGTGCCCTTCCTGTTCCGGTCATTCTCCTTGTGTTGTACCGCTTCAATGCAGTGTCATGTAAATGTCATTTTGTGTATAACAGGAGCTGACAGCCATCAAGGCCCGAGTTCAAGAGCTGGAGATGGAAGAAGAGACTGAAAGAATGAAGGAGGAGGGAGTTGAAGAAGAGGAGGACAGGTGTGATGGTGAGGAGATGCAGCTGCTGACCAGCAGCCCCCGGCCTGGTGAGACGAGCCCTCGTTTGATGTTTGCGAGTCGTAAATACAGACTGTGGGAAGCCGAACGGGAAGCTAGCCATGCCACCGCGTGGCTAACACCTGGGTCACTTTAATGTGCCTCATAGTTGCCCAATAAGATGAGCGGAAGGCTCGCTTCTCTGCCTCCCAGCTCAGCTCACTTCATTTTCCCACCCTCCCATCTGCCACAGATTCGAAAAAAAAACAGGTTGTTTTTGAAATGCGGATAGTTGCTGCTTGCAATGTCTTGATACAACCTGCTCTTGCTGATGCCAATTGTCCACCGCGTTTGTTTTGCCACAGGCCCGTTCTACAACATGACACCCGAGGAGAGGATAGATGCAGACAACAGGTCCATCTATGTAGGAAATGTAAGATATTTATTGCACTACTGTCTTTTTTTGTATTTTTTAAATCCATGGCTTTTGCATAAATGCCAAAAAACAGCTTTAAGACACTGAATACATTTAATTGGAAAGCTCTGGTGAATGATCCCAAGCTAACTACACCACCCAATTACCGTTTTCCATGATCTATCGATTGTTGATGTATTTTCAAAAAAGTTTCTTACTGGTTTACGTTGAAGCCAGCCGCACACCGATCGCCACTGATCAATTCGGACGTGTCGCACAGTGTCTGTGGTTCTGCAACGAGTTTCAGCTGCAGAGTGTCTGCCACTAAGTTCGGTTTTTAACTGAATGCACTCTGGTTGAAATCCCAGGTGGACTACGGAGCGACTGCAGATGAGTTGGAAATCCATTTCAACGGCTGCGGCCCCGTCAACCGTGTCACCATCCTCTGCGACAGGTTCTCCGGGCACCCCAAAGGGTCAGTTTAGTCGGAACAATGTGTTTCGAAACATCTGTCTGCAAGAAACGTTTTTGACTTTTTTCGTAAATCTTGCTGTTTTCCAGGTTTGCCTACATCGAGTTCTCTGATCGCAACTCGGTGCAGAGTGCTGTTGCCCTGCATGAGACTTTGTTCCGAGGAAGAATTCTCAAGGTGAGAATCACCTTCACGACTTCTGAGGAGGGAAAGAAAACATTTCATCATCACGAACTAGTGGCACTGCAGTGCTATATTGGGTATTCTTTTACAGCTTTTGGCAAGTCATTTAAAGAATAGTTCGGGAAACAACTTGGGGGCATTCCTTTTATGCAGAGGATTAATTTGAACACAAGGGAGCAACAGGTTTATTTAATTTAACAGCATGTCTTGCACAATCCTGGATTTCCCTCACAGTTGATGGAATGACATGTCACTTGAAATTTACTAATGGTACCTTTTTTGTTTTTTTAACGCACACTACTCACAGAAGTTTGAGATATAAATTCTTGAATGCACATGTCCAAATGTTGAATGTTTCAAGATTTTTTTGCACAGCCTGTTCGAAGCCTTAGAATGGAGAGCTACTGTATTGCTTGGTGTTGCCGTGCTCGCATGACAAAATGCAACTCGGAAGAGGACCATTTTTAAAATACCAATTTTGAGTGAAGCAGGAAGCTTGGTGCTTTAACAGCAAGTTATGCAGAAAGTACCGGTCGGTAGTGTCGGTTATGTGACTGGCAGCCTCTCAAAAGGTCACCCCTGCATTTTCTGCATTTGTAAAAGAAACATGAGGCGTGGGAATTGTACTTTTTTTCAGAAATTCATGCCATTTTAACAGTGCAGAGGAATTTCTTGAGGGAATGTAAAGGTGCATCCGACACTAAGACGTGTTCAGGACCGTTTACATTTGGTCTGATATGAGCCAAACAAAGCAACTTGCGATATTGGATGACTTAAACTTAAGAGAGTAGGAGCAGAATTTGTATGCGTGTGTGTATACTGTATATGACATAGGAACTCTGGCCGAATGGTGCTGAAGACTCACCAAATGATCTTCTTTTGCCATTTCAGGTGTTGCCCAAAAGGACCAACATGCCCGGCATCAGCACCACTGACCGGGGAGGCCACAGAGGTGGCCACTCGAGAGGGAGAGGGCGAGGCTTCCAGCCCCCCAGGGGCCAGCATGGCTCTCGAGGCAGGTTTCGCTACCAGTCCACGAGACCACAACACCAGAACCCCCACCCTTACTATGGAGGCCCCCCGGTGGGCAAGAGACAGTGGGGCCACCCAGATTATCACGAACAGACGTCCAAACGCTACCCTTGTCTTCTCCTCATCACCCCGCCGTCAGAGGAAATGGGAGCCGGGGCCAGCGGACAGCATTACCCGCAACAGCGCTAGAAAGCCGTCTCCCTGCTGCTTGTCTACAAAGTGGGTGTCTGAACTGGTTTTAAAAGGCGTTGTTGGATCACTGGTTTGTCTGCATCAGTCCTTCAGATAGATCGTTTTAAGCTTCTTGTGTAAATGCACTTGCTTATTCATGCAGATGTGTCATCCATCCATTCTTTTTTTTTTTTTTTTTTTTTTTTTTAACAAACTAAACTACCAGTATTGTTTGTGGCCGCTGTGGATGAATCCTCCTCTGTTTTAACTTATACATCTTTTGCTTTCCGTGAATAAATAAAATGATCAGATGCTTCAATTGTACTAAGATGCATTTCGACGTGCAGCAAACATTTTTTATTTACGCATACATTGAAACAATCGAGTTAATACAAACATATGTACATGGGAGGCTGTCGAAGACATCAAGTACTTTGCGCCAACATTCCGGAGACAACTTCATCAAATGCCCTGAAAGAAAACAAGGTCGATCATGACATTTTTCCATTTTAGAAAAAAAAATTACTAATTGCCCCAGCATTAACTCACTTTGACTGAATAGGATTTCCTGGTGTATGGAAAGGGTTACACATCACATCAGTGAATGAGTTGTGCAGTTTTCTGAACATCTGCAGGAAAAATGTCATTGGAAATGAAAGACGGCTTCAGAGAACGTGGCACATTGGAAAATATGCATTCAATGATCATTTAACTTACACTTCTTATTTCGTTGTCCCGCAATGACGTGTTGGATGAGTCTACAACAATAACAAATTTAACCTTGGAGTTAGTGACATAGCCATATCTAGTAAAGTAGTCAAGGATTAACAATCGGGGATTCAGACACAATTGCACGATCCTGCTCTTGCTATAATGTTCATTGAGTACTCTTAAGAGCCAACACAAGAGCTGCATCTTTTTCAAGGGTGTTTTCCCGTTTTGGGTGCCCCGTTGAGCAAAAATACGTTTAAATGAACACATTCCCGACAATGGCAATCAAAATTAACATTATTTTTGCAATGCTGGGATTGGGGACACAGTCCTCATGAGATTATGCATGTGTACATAATTGCATTTTTACACATTTTGAAAACATTCATGTTTCTTTGCAAAGGGGATACACTTTGTAGTCTTCTGTGGGATATAGTAGACCCAGGTAGAGCTCTCTCTGGTCCCCCAAGGACTTCCCCACAGCAGAAATCTTTTCCTCCACCACATCCAGCGAGGTGTGCACGGTGTAGTGAAATTTTAGCTCATTTTGAGTAGGAACGCTGCGGATATACAGCGGGTAGTTCTGAGGGAACACAAAGACAATCATTACACTTGTCATCGTGCAACCACTGAACAATCATCTGTTTTGACAGCAGCATTTTGAAACACTGCCGATATTGCACACTGCCTTGCACTGCCACATAGGATTTTTGCTCGCCATACATCAGAAAATATAAAAATGAATCGATAAAATACTCCAAAGAACACAGATACGGATGTTTTGAAGCAAGAAAACGGAACATTACCTCTTTTGCTATCACTGCTATACACACCGCCATTTTAGTTTTCTTCCTGTATGGGTGATCACGTGACAGCGAGGCGTTCGCCGACTGTAGGAAAAGTGCCGAACTTTAGATGAAGTTGAGCGCGCGTATCGCACTTTCAAGGCAATATTTCAGACACACCCTATGTACAAAGTATTGATTATTTTAAAATAAATATTGAAATAATGGCAAACTAAAAAAAAAAACTACCAGCAATTGAGTGACACATTTATAGCAGCATAGTCTGTATACAGTCTTTATACATTTTATGTAACGATAAAAATGTTGCAATTGAATAATTATAGTTTAACGACAACGACTACGTTTTATTAATTGCCGGAATCTACTTGAAAAGGACGCCGTAAAATCGATGGCCGAATGTGCATGCGCAAATGCTGCGCATATGAGCTGACTGAAGGAAACCAAAGATCACTTCCTGAAAGTTGGTGCTGGTCGGCATTGCGGTGTTTGTGATGTCTGGCAGAGCTTTAACTTTCTTGTGTGCACTAATATGTATTTCCCAGCCAGGAAGGCTGGCAGCTGCGTCGCCACCAAACGTTATCATTATGCTTATGGATGACGTGAGTTTTAGTTATTTTTCGCTCTTATGTTCGATTTGTTTTTATCAAAGAGTCAGTTAATAAAATCACGTGACATGTACTCTATTTAGTTTTCTTCTGTCGTCTTTACTTCCAGTCGTTAACCACGTGTGTTGTAAAATTCTCCACTTGTGATATCTGTCTCTTTCTGCGGATCAGATGGGTTGGGGGGATCTGGGGGTTTTGGGCCAGCCCTCCAAGGAGACCCCCAACCTGGATGCCATGGCTGCACAGGGGATGCTTCTCCCAAACTTCTACACCGCCAACCCGTTATGTTCCCCCTGTGAGTGAGCAGGCTAGCTTTTATTAAAAAAAAAAAGTCATTCTTATTTCCCCCTCACCCTTTAAATGTTGCAAAAATACTTTACCCATTTCACACAGCCAGAGCTGCACTTCTTACCGGTAGACTACCTGTCCGAAATGGCTTCTACACCACGAATGGTCACGCCAGAAACGGTGAAAACCCATAAACAAGCAAACGCGCAAATAAATAAAAATCTTCACTGCGGCCAAATAAGCAGCTGCAATTACTTCAAGCCGTCGTGTTCATCTCATGTCTGCGAATGCCAGTTGGCACAGACTAAATAGTGGACCTCTTTTACAGCATACACACCACAGGAGATTGTGGGAGGAATCTCCCAGGATGAGATCCTGTTACCTCTGATGCTGAAAAAGAAGGGATACGTCAGCAAGATAGTTGGGAAATGGTGAGTGCCTTTTGATTTCTCATTGGTAAATTCAAAGTTGGGGGGTGTGGGAGGAGTGGGGACTGAAGAGTGCTCAGCACAAAATATGCTTTCGAAATCTGCTGGATTTAGACTGCTGTTGTAAGGAGGAGTGGAAAAATATTATGATGTTCCATTGATGACTCATCACCAATTGGACCAAATGCTCTTGAGTATTGTATTGCCAAAGGTGCTGAAGCAAAGTATTCTTTTTTGGGTGTGCACACTGATGCAGCCGACATGCATGTTTTCCCCATTAGAGATTGAACAGATTTTTTTAGGTTAAATCTTGAGTATTTTCTTCACGTATGTCAACAGAATTATTTTCCCTTTCTCTGTCCACATTTTCTGAATCCATGAATTAACCGTAAAACCTCTCAGACTGTAAGATAAACCTTCCCAGATGAAATGTCGACATCCTGTAACATACAATGTGAAGAATAATGTGTCAGCAGCTCAAAGCGCACCTTTTACTCAAGTGAATAGAGTCCGATCCGTGACTTTGAATCAGTGTCATATGGCAAATGTGCGCAGCATATGTGACTCAGTGGAAATGCACGTGTTGAGTCAGCCACGTTGACACCACGCTGTGTGAGAGCACTTTACTTCACGACAGGCATCTGGGCCACAGAGCGCAGTACCTCCCCCTGAAGAATGGCTTCGACGAATGGTTTGGTGCACCCAATTGCCATTTTGGGCCCTACAACAACAGCGGGCGACCCAACATCCCCGTCTACCACAACTCGGAGATGGTCGGCAGGTACGTGAATGTCGAGCGTCTCCGCTGCTCTATCAGCCTCTGTGCTGCCCTCGTGTCTTCCATTTTACGCCCATTTGTTTCCCCCTTGAAAACAGCCATATGTGTGCTTGGGGTCACTGCACTTGGCAGCCGGCTGTGTTTTACGCTTAGCCGTGATTTTAATCAGCGCAGCTTACCTGGGCTGTTGACGGACGAACCCACATGAACGTATTTTCAAACACACACACACACACACACACACACACACACACACACACACACACACACACAAGCACCCCCCTCAGAGACAGCAGGTTGTGTTTGCTGAGTGTGAGGACACCTGGAGGAAGCGAAGCGCGTGGAAGAAAGATGGCTGTCGCTGCCTCTGTGCTCACCACGTCACGCCTCAACAACTTCCTAGTGGTCCCTCCCGCTTGGTTCTGTGGAGACTTCACAAGTTTGGCAAACCTCATCACAATTTGCACCAGGGAAGCTTCCATCATCTCACAATTATACATGTTATGTTTGTTTAGTTTAGGAAATGATTTGAATGAACACAGTAGCAAGTAGGCAGCACTGTGGGCAAGTGGTTAGCAGACACGTCTCACGATTTTGAGGTTCAGGATCCAGTCGGGTTTGCATGTCCTCCACCGTGCTGACCTGCCTTTCCAGAAAGATGAATGGATAACTGACTGTCTAATCATGTCAACTTGTTTTGTAGATACTATGAGGAGTTTAGTATCAACAGAAAAACAGGAGAGTCCAATCTCACACAAATCTACTTGCAGGTATGTTGTGCGGTACACAGCATTCTCATTAAGAATTTCTTGCCTGGGCTGTATTTATAGGACATGCACGCTGTCATGCAGTGGATGTTCTTCTTTGAGCGGTGTTTCTCAGGGCAACCATTTTATAGTGACAGGGAAATGAAGCTTCAAATTTGCTTCATGAACCAGGTGTTGTATTTTTTGACTCCCCTAGATGGCATTGTTGGTTTGAAGAAAGGGGTTGAAGAAATGGCAAATTTGTGTGCTTTCAGCCCTTTTGTTGAACCTTCAGTGCCATCTTGAGGGCTCAGTAAAACATAACTGGTTCATGAATGATCTTGAAGCCTCATTTTCCCACCAGTGCCATTTTACATAGGAAGCATCATAATGGCCAGGTGCTGTTGATGAATTGTTCGGTGTCGTCTTGGTCTCCTGATGTCAAAATGTGAACAGTAGGATGAAGAGGACTATGAGCAAATCTGTATTGGTGCAATACAAGTTGCGCAAAAAAGTACTGAAGAGTTCAACAGACTGCTGTGTGCATAAAGTTTAGAAAATGTTCCACTAAACTCACCTGCTTTACACTTCAGATCAGACTAAGTTCTTCAATCCATAGTAGCTTGCTATAAAACATTTGATACAAATACGGATCACTTGCAAAATAAAGTATTGCAGACAGTATCCGAATATTGAGAACCATATTGTCTGCACTTTGACAAGCCCCACAAACCTTGTTCTCTGACAATGTTGCCTCATTTTCCTCTTTAACAGGAAGGTCTTGACTTCATAAATCAGCAGAGTCTGGCCCAACGGCCCTTCTTCCTGTACTGGGCTCCTGACGCCACCCATGCCCCTGTCTATGCTTCCAGACGCTTCCTCGGGAAGAGCCAACGAGGCCGGTGCGCTCCTGTGTCGTTCTCTGACGACAGGATCGGATGAGTTTTTCCATGACCGAGTTGTTGTGTTCTGTAGCTATGGAGATGCGGTGATGGAGCTGGACAACAGCGTTGGGCAGATCCTGTCCAGGCTGAGGACTCTGGGTATTGAAAACAGCACCTTTGTTTTCTTCACGTCGGACAACGGAGCCGCTCTAATGTCTGGCCCGAGTGAGAGTAAGCATCACATTTGGAAACAAGCCATTTTATGGCTTTTATTTGAGTGGTCATGTCAGGTGGGCACTGACTTGTGCTTTTGGTGCCTCCGATCGTTCAGGTGGCAGTAACGGGCCGTTCCTCTGCGGGAAGGAGACCACCTACGAAGGGGGCATGAGAGAGCCTGCCATTGCCTGGTGGCCCGGACACATCACAGCGGGCACGGTGAGAACACCTCTGTCATTGAAAGCTCTTGCTTAAGAAAGTCGAAGTCGACTCCGAAATTATACCTGTTCCTTAAATCAAACCTAAAAATGGACTTTGAAAATTGGTTTATTGGTTGCTGATTCATTTCTCTGGTTCAACTTTACAACAGTAGCCGAAAGTATTTACAACGCAGGACGTAATCAAAAGTTGCTTCGGGTCCACCGCTGTGACGACACTACTTCTGATGGAGTGTGATGGAGGACTGCCTTGTTAGGAATTGGTGGTGCGAACAGTAGCGTCGGACGCATACAGACTCGGAATCAGAAACTCTTTATTGTCCCTTAAATAGAAATTAATGTGGCCACAATGAGGACAAAACACACAATGACAAAATAACAGGACATCATTTACAAAATTAAGACCCGGACTAAATACACACACACACACACACACACACACACGCGCACACGCACACGCACACACGCACACACTATACAGTATAATGTACATACTGTACATACATACAGATATAACAAACATGCATTTATATCACTTTAACAATAATAATATCACACACACACACACACACACACACACACATTCAATCAATCAATAAATAAAGGGAAACATCATACAACCGCTGGCAAATGTGACAGAATCATCAGTCTTAGAGGATGTTCATTCAATTTGTGTAGAGAAAAAAAAGGCAGAGGGCAGACCTGACACAAAACTTAAAGTCGTTTCAAGGCAACCTGCTGGCTTTATGGAACACTAAAAGAAATCAAGAAAAAAAATGATAGTCAGTGACAGTTACATTTTAAAGCAAGCAGAGGGGGAAAAAAATATCCCACTTACGAACATTTGCCTTCGTCAGGATCTGTCTATTCCATTTGGATATTTTTCCAGCAATTTTGACTCTTTTCGGACCCGTTCGAGTTTCCAAACCATGCGACGCTACCGAAGGATAAGACCGAGTCAATAATCTTCTGTGGAAGAGAGTCATGGAAGCTTCTCATTTCCCTGAAAAGGTCCAGTGGTTGATGAACCTTTTTGCAGGTGGCATCAAGGTGAGGTTCGTTGTTGAGGGGCACACCCGGTAATTGGCGGCACTCCGCCATCTCAACATCAGCCCCTTTTAATAACAGGTTGCGATAGAGGTTGACTCCCTAAAAACAAGAATCATATCTTTGCCTTTTACACATTTAATTCGAACTGAGACTCGACGCACCAGGCAACAAATTTTTCATTGACAAAAAGCCATTCGTCCTGCAACCCCGCCACCCCGTGTCGTCAGCAAACTTCAAGATGTCTCTGCTTGCTCGAATTTTTTTTGCAATTCTCTGCCTAACATCAACCATCGGAGTCGCCCTCCTGCTTGCACGTGTCGGGCTTTGTTCCCCTCCTCACGTTCCGCCTATCAACAGGTACCAGAAATGTAAATGGGAAAGCTGCAGGCGGCGCGCGGGCCTGTAAATCTGTTTGAGAGCAAATGAATAATTGATTTACTAATCCTCTGTATTGAGTTGCTCGTTATGTTTTGTTTCTTTTGTGTGTCATTTACCAGCACGCATCACAGCCACTCGTGCCGCAAGCGGGTTCAACTCGACTGCGTTCGAACTTCCGCCGAGCGATTGAACTCATCGGCGGGCAAGATCAAAGTATATGACGGAAACCAACGTTTGGGGAACGCGTCCGCTGTCGTTTTCGGCGGCAATTATTGACCCGCCTCTGTCCGTCTCCTCTCTGTCCCGCAACCTAATTTAACCCCACCGCCCCCCTCCCACCTACAGCGTGATCCTTTAAGCCTGCGCGTTCTGCAAATGACTTTTAATTGTATTAGGGGGCAGCTGTGACATGGGGCTGTGATGCGGGAGGGATTTGGTGGCGGAGCGAGTGGAGGATGCAGCCTGCAGTAAGTAAGCCTTGCCCCTGGCTCATCTCGTAGGGTTGTGCTGGGGCCTGATAGCGCTGCCGAGGAGCGAGGGAGAGGGGGGGGGATTGGGAGCGTTTTAAGCAGCTAATCTGTTTGTGTGTTTGCTGAGGTTGGATTGAGCTGTAATGAGGACTCAGTATCTGAATATGCCAGGCGCTGAGGATAAAGAAACGGGAAGATGGGAGGGGGAGGGGGGAGTGGTTGGGGCTACAAGGAAGAAGATGTACGTAAAAGAGGGCGACTGCTGTGGAAAGGAGAAAGGGAAGAGGAACGCGCCGCTGCCAGGAACAGTGTTGCGTGTGCAGGGTGTCAGGGTCATACATTTTGACCGTGTCCCTGCATGCGGCCTAAATTTTTTTTTTTAGTGGATTGAACATGGTTGCAGAATGTTAAATTTTGAGATGAGCTATCGGTCTTCTGTGTGGCTGAGTTGTTGGATCTACTATAGACTGGATTTATCTGTTTTGATCGCCGGGCAAGGACGTCAGAGCCCACAACATCTTGATTGCGTGCATATTAAAAAGCCTTTCTGAGTCATGAGCAAGAAAAGCGGGCGCCGAACAATACACAGCGTTTGCAGTGCAATCACGAGATGCTAAAACGCGATTTGTTCATTGTAAAGGCTGCGATTTGACGGGTCGCCTGGCGAGGAGGGGAGAGGAGCGATTCGAAGGAGGCAGAGACATCAACGCCGTCATGAAAGCCCGCCGCGCTAGGTGCACGTAATTTGCCGTGAGTTTTCAGTTTCACGAGACCTTGAGACGCTACGCTCACACCCGAGGTGAAATTGGCCACATATATCGTATGATGCCGCCCTGAGAAAAAAAAATCTGTTGAATTTTTGAATCTGTCGCGCAACGCTGCAATTATTCGCTGCAGTAAAATGAGCGCCAAATCGTAAACTAGATTGAACACGATGAAACTCTCGAGTTGAGAGACTGAAAGGAGGCGTAATGGAATGTAAGGCCGCGCGAAGCAGGTGCACGGTAAGCATTCTTCCCAATTCCCGAAGGATCGAAGGCCCCCCCCCCCCCCCCCCGGGGTGGGAGGAACAAAGGTGGCGAGTCGGGTTGGGTTTCCATCCTGTTGTGTAGCGAAGCATCGCAATCCCGCTTTGTTATAGCAGGACAGAGAGCCTCCTCCGATAACCAACATGACCACACGGAGAAAGTGAAATTGGCAAAAATGATGAGTCAGCAAAGACAAAAAGGGGGAAAAAAAACACAGGGCTCGACACGAGTTGAATGCGCAACGAAAAAGAGTTCAAGCTAATTAGGAAACTACGCAACCCTTGACTTAACTCCTCTGTTGAGACGTCCGATTTTTTGCAGACTAAATGTCACTTCCTCTTTTGCAAAGGTGAGCGCGTCAGTCAACGTTGCCGGTCCGTCATTCGTCAGCGGACTGCGCACCCGTCCGCTCATTATTTTAAGGCCAACTGAGCTGCAATCGCCAGTCTGCCAGTCCGTCACATTTATTTTAACCGCGCTTCTCTCAGTAAATGTCATCGGTTTGCCAGTCTGTCCAAAAAAAAGAAAAAAAAAGGCACAGTCCAACAGATAAGAAATCCAATTGGTTACCATGGTAGATGGAGTTCTCGATATATCAGCGTATCCAGCAGCGAGATAGCAAGATTGTCGCTCATACGGTGGTTTCCCAAAGAGCATGACAGTTTAGCGGGTGCACACTCGCGAGGAATGTCTGCCACCGTTTTAACTCCTAGAACGCCAGAAAATTTTCCTTTTAAGTTGAAAATGGCTTCCCTTAACCAGAATTCTGACCGACGGTACAATCCCGGTGGATTATTGTACCTTGTACATCCTTGTGGAAACTGAAACCAAGTTGCCATGGCTAAAAATTATTTTTCTTGCTTTTCTTCTTCTCCTTCTTCTCTTAATTAGTCAAGCGCTTTGATGCATACTGCCACCTGCTGTACAGAAAGTGCAAAGCGTTCCCAGAAATAGTCAATGCGGTCTGCTCGGTGTTGAATTTGTCAATTTTTGGAAGTTTCTCATCATTTGTCAGCAAAACGGATGCCCGTCAGCAATGGACCGACGGACGGAATGCCCTCTTTTGTGCATTTATAAAAGTGTGTGCAAGTGTGTGTCTGCGTTTGTGTGTAAGATAAGAAATCCAATTGGTTACCATGGTAGATGGAGTGCTCGATATATCAGCGTATCCAGCAGCCAGATAGCAAGATTTTCGCTCATACGGTGGTTGCCCAAAGAGCATGACAGTTTAGCGGGTGCACGCTCGCAAGGGCTGTCTGCCACCGTTTTAACTCCTAGAACACCAGAAAATTTTCCTTTTAAGGTGAAAATGGCTTACCTTAACCAGAATTCTGACCAACGGTACAATCCCGGTGGATTATTGTACCTTGTACATCCTTGTGGAAACTGAAACCAAGTTGCCATGGCTAAAAATTATTTTTCTTGCTTTTCTTCTTCTCCTTCTTCTCTTAATTAGTCAAGCGCTTTGATGCATACTGCCACCTGCTGTACAGAAAGTGCAAAGCGTTCCCAGAAATAGTCAATGCGGTCTGCTCGGTGTTGAATTTGTCAATTTTTGGAAGTTTCTCATCATTTGTCAGCAAAACGGATGCCCGTCAGCAATGGACCGACGGACGGAATGCCCTCTTTTGTGCATTTATAAAAGTGTGTGCAAGTGTGTGTCTGCGTTTGTGTGTAAAAGCACAAATTAAAAAGAAGGGGGGGCGGGGGGGCGGAGTTAAGGTCTAAGTAGTGTATTTGAATAGGACGTGTGATATCATGGAATGCACTGCGCCAACTACTTGTGTGGCTGCTGCGGAAGAAAAGTGAATTAATTTCAGTGCTGATGCACTCGTGGGTGGGGGGGGGGC